AGAAGGAAGACAAGGCAACCTTCGTCTCAGCCCCCTTATCCTTTAGAATACTACCTCCTCAGGTTGAGTACAGGACCTTGTGAAGGACATTCTGAAAAGACACAGATGCCAAAGTGTCCAAAGGCCTTGTTGCATCTCCATTATCCCTTCATGTCACCCAGACCTGAGAGGATTGGTAGGTGCCTACATTTTAGCTTGTTTCCTGACATATGTAGAAGACCAAGAATTTGAAACCTTGAGAATGTGGAAAGGTGAAGAAGAGTTCTATTTCAGAGCCTTTAGAAGGTGTGGCCCAGGGTGCTATGTTCATTCCTTGAGTACAGCTCAGGGAGATGTAATTGCGAATTCTGGCCTTCTCAGTGGTAATTCAAGAAATTATCTGTAAGGGTAGAAATGATAAACAGAGACACAGGAATCGCTGTCTGCTGGCGACAGCCCTGGGTGTGATATCAGCATGCAGTGGTGACCTGATCAGAGCCACACTGTAGAAAGTGACGGGTGGTTTGTTGCAGGTGAGGAGGCAGTGTATTTCTGCAGCACTGAGTTTCACTCTGTATTAGTAGCCACTACAGTGATGCCTAGCAACCATGAACACACACATTATCCTTTTTTTTTACAACATGGAAAAAGGAGAGAGAGATAGAAGGGGAAAAGTGGAGAGGCAGGTAATGGATGAAGGGGGAGCAAAGGGAGAGGTACGTGGCTGAGACCTCACAGGTAGTAGAGCCTTTGGGAATGTGGTGAAAGTAGGAGTCTCTGATGTCCAAAGGTTGGAAATAGCCTGTTTATTAATAGATTATTTTATAGATCATGTAATTTTGTTCAACTGAGGTTTCAGATTATTGACTATTAGCTAAGTCTACACAAACACAGGCATATTGTAAGACCTAAAGTCTCACTTCCACTCCACGGAGCGTGAACAGCCGAAAGGCCTCCACGATGCTGGGCCCTAACACCCAGCGAGGCTCCGGGAACACGACAGAGAACCGAGAAACCCAGGAAGGAACACACCAGGCTAGATGGTAAAAGACCTTTATTAGTCTGGCCAGATGGCACTCCCGGAGCCAGGTGGCTCAGAGAGGCAACTGCTCAGGGGCTGAGGTACTTTTTATAAGGTTTTTCTAAACAAAGAGTCAGGGAATTCACAGAACAAGACTGCAAACACATTGCTTATCTTATGCAGGAAATGTTCTAGGGTCACCTTTTGTCAAACCATTTGCCCCTGGGCGGGCTGTTAACCAAGGTAGCAATTAGCATATGAAGAAGCACAGTCTGGCCTATTAGCATGGAGTCACTTTAGCCTATTCAAGTCTTACAATCCCCACTGATCTTAGGTAGAATCAAATCCTTGATTCATTCTTTTAAATTTTTAGCTAAGGGGTCACAGCAATTTGTAAAGGCATCTCTTAGACAGCTAAATTGGGGATTAGGATTCCCAGAGCACAAAAAGTTTTCATATTTCTATCATCTGTAGGCTCCTAAACTCTTAATTTAGAAGTATAATAACTCATAACAGTATGACACAATATAAGAGTCTATATCTAGATTGTAGTTCTCCTTCTTCAGCCGTGCGTAGACTCACCAGCTTCCGGTGTGGTGAGAGCAGGGCTTTGAGTGCATTGTCTCTTGGCCTCCTAGAGTCGGATTCCCTGGAATTCTGTTTTACTCTAGAGTGGTGTAGCTGAGTTTCAGCTACCTTGCTAGCTGTGGGAGTCAAAGTGACTCATATGGCCCTTTCTATATAGGTCAGAAAGGGGTCCTTTTCTAAATTTTAACATCACAGGGAGGTCTTTTTTATTTTTTTAATTTACCCTTGAATATTTTTTTGAAATACTTGCACAATTTTAACTCCTGTGATTTTATACTGGATAAGCCCTAATGTAAGACCTAAAGTCTCACTTCCACTCCACGGAGCGTGAACAGCCGAAAGGCCTCCACGATGCTGGGCCCTAACACCCAGCGAGGCTCCGGGAACACGACAGAGAACCGAGAAACCCAGGAAGGAACACACCAGGCTAGATGGTAAAAGAGACCTTTATTAGTCTAGCCAGACGGCACTCCCGGAGCCAGGTGGCTCAGAGAGGCAACTGCTCAGGGGCTGAGGTACTTTTTATAAGGTTTTTCTAAACAAAGAGTCAGGGAATTCACAGAACAAGACTGCAAACACATTGCTTATCTTATGCAGGAAATGTTCTAGGGTCACCTTTTGTCAAACCATTTGCCCCTGGGCGGGCTGTTAACCAAGGTAGCAATTAGCATATGAAGAAGCACAGTCTGGCCTATTAGCATGGAGTCACTTTAGCCTATTCAAGTCTTACAATCCCCACTGATCTTAGGTAGAATCAAATCCTTGATTCATTGTTTTAAATTTTTAGCTAAGGGGTCACAGCAATTTGTAAAGGCATCTCTTAGACAGCTAAATTGCGGATTAGGATTCCCAGAGCACAAAAAGTTTTCATATTTTTATCATCTGTAGGCTCATAAACTCTTAATTTAGAAGTATAATAACTCATAACAGTATGACACAATATAAGAGTCTATATCTAGATTGTAGTTCTCCTTCTTCAGCCGTGCGTAGACTCACCAGCTTCCGGTGTGGTGAGAGCAGGGCTTTGAGTGCGTTGTCTCTTGGCCTCCTGGAGTCGGATTCCCTGGAATTCTGTTTTACTCTAGAGTGGTGTAGCTGAGTTTCAGCTACCTTGATAGCTGTGGGAGTAACTATAAGTGACTCATATGGCCCTTTCTATATAGGTCAGAAAGGGGTCCTTTTCTAAATTTTAACATCACAGGGAGGTCTTTTTTATTTTTTTAATTTACCCTTGAATATTTTTTTGAAATACTTGCACAATTTTAACTCCTGTGATTTTATACTGGATAAGCCCTAATGTAAGACCTAAAGTCTCACTTCCACTCCACGGAGCGTGAACAGCCGAAAGGCCTCCACGATGCTGGGCCCTAACACCCAGCGAGGCTCCGGGAACACGACAGAGAACCGAGAAACCCAGGAAGGAACACACCAGGCTAGATGGTAAAAGAGACCTTTATTAGTCTAGCCAGACGGCACTCCCGGAGCCAGGTGGCTCAGAGAGGCAACTGCTCAGGGGCTGAGGTACTTTTTATAAGGTTTTTCTAAACAAAGAGTCAGGGAATTCACAGAACAAGACTGCAAACACATTGCTTATCTTATGCAGGAAATGTTCTAGGGTCACCTTTTGTCAAACCATTTGCCCCTGGGCGGGCTGTTAACCAAGGTAGCAATTAGCATATGAAGAAGCACAGTCTGGCCTATTAGCATGGAGTCACTTTAGCCTATTCAAGTCTTACAATCCCCACTGATCTTAGGTAGAATCAAATCCTTGATTCATTGTTTTAAATTTTTAGCTAAGGGGTCACAGCAATTTGTAAAGGCATCTCTTAGACAGCTAAATTGCGGATTAGGATTCCCAGAGCACAAAAAGTTTTCATATTTTTATCATCTGTAGGCTCATAAACTCTTAATTTAGAAGTATAATAACTCATAACAGTATGACACAATATAAGAGTCTATATCTAGATTGTAGTTCTCCTTCTTCAGCCGTGCGTAGACTCACCAGCTTCCGGTGTGGTGAGAGCAGGGCTTTGAGTGCGTTGTCTCTTGGCCTCCTGGAGTCGGATTCCCTGGAATTCTGTTTTACTCTAGAGTGGTGTAGCTGAGTTTCAGCTACCTTGATAGCTGTGGGAGTAACTATAAGTGACTCATATGGCCCTTTCTATATAGGTCAGAAAGGGGTCCTTTTCTAAATTTTAACATCACAGGGAGGTCTTTTTTATTTTTTTAATTTACCCTTGAATATTTTTTTGAAATACTTGCACAATTTTAACTCCTGTGATTTTATACTGGATAAGCCCTAATGTAAGACCTAAAGTCTCACTTCCACTCCACGGAGCGTGAACAGCCGAAAGGCCTCCACGATGCTGGGCCCTAACACCCAGCGAGGCTCCGGGAACACGACAGAGAACCGAGAAACCCAGGAAGGAACACACCAGGCTAGATGGTAAAAGACCTTTATTAGTCTGGCCAGATGGCACTCCCGGAGCCAGGTGGCTCAGAGAGGCAACTGCTCAGGGGCTGAGGTACTTTTTATAAGGTTTTTCTAAACAAAGAGTCAGGGAATTCACAGAACAAGACTGCAAACACATTGCTTATCTTATGCAGGAAATGTTCTAGGGTCACCTTTTGTCAAACCATTTGCCCCTGGGCGGGCTGTTAACCAAGGTAGCAATTAGCATATGAAGAAGCACAGTCTGGCCTATTAGCATGGAGTCACTTTAGCCTATTCAAGTCTTACAATATATCCTATGAAAATCTTTAGCCAGTTGCACAAATCCATCCACGATTCTATTAATGTGTGGGTATTTAAAATTCAGTATGCTATGTGTTTTGTGCAATCTACTTTTCTAGGTAATGTCCACGATCGTGGACATAAAGGATGCACAATATTTGTCAATTGAAAACATTTTATCTCAGCCACTCAGAAAAGTGATACAATAGGGTCCCAAGTTCAACTGCAGCCTGGGCCACTTAGAGATTTGGTGAGGATCTTTCTCAAAATAAAAATGTGGAAATAGGGGTACTGTTGATTATCAAGGTCACTGGGCTCCTTCCTCATTACCACAAGTACACAAAAATGATGAAAAAATGATAATTAATGTGCATGAACTTTGGATAGTGATTCATATAGTGACTATAGAATTTTTCTTAACATTCAATAAATGGGAAAATTTGTTTTAGTTGGAAGACAAGAGCCTAAATGACTAATTGAAATCAGTTAATGAATTTGAAAAGAACCACTGCGTGTTCACCTTGAGACCTTTAAAAATCATCATCTGAGCTAGGCGTAGTGGTGCATGCCTGTAATCCCAGCACTCCGGAGGCTGAAGCAGGAGGAATGCTGTGAGTTCAAGACCAGCCTGGGCTACATACTGAGTTCCAGGGTAGTATCAACGGCATAGTGAGACCCTGTCTCAAAAAACAAAACAAAACAAAAATCATCATCTTGTGTGGGGATTTAGCTCAGTGGTGCTTCACCTGCCTCAAACATTCAAGGTCCAGAGTAGTATTTTTGGTACAAAAAATAATTAATTAATTAAAAAAAAAATTTAAAGTCACCTTCTCAACAAAATGAGGGAAATGAGTCCAGATGAATTTAACAAGAGATGGTAGAAGATAAATGAACTGAGGCAGGATACATTTTGATTTACAAATGTGTAGCTTCTCCTTTCTATCACATATCTCGAAGTACAGATTAATGCCAGGTTGTTAATGTTGCCTGCATCTGACTATTGCCACAGTGTGTGACTTGTGCTATCTCTCACTTGCCAAGGTTCCAGTGAATTCATAGTTATTTTATCAGAAACAAAAACAATCTAATAAAAACAAGTGCGAGCCAGAGGTACAAAAGGAACTGTGCCATTAAGAGCAGTGTTCAATTTCAGGCCACTCAGACATTTGTTGCTGTATGCGATGGATTTTTGCTGCCATCCTGTAGAGAAATGGAAAAAAATTTCAGAATATGAACTAGAGATCTATTTTTTCTTTAGCGGCTAAAGTTGATGTGCTTTGGCGCCATCTTGTGGACACATGGGAAAATGCTTTTCACTGTAAACCACAGATTTCATTTTTGTTTGTTGCTACTGTATTTAATGTTCTTTCGTGCCATCTTGTGGACAAATGGAAGAACGTTTTTGAAAATAGAATCAAAGTACAGATAGGCTCTTGACATACTGATTAGCATATCCTGTATAACTTTCATCCCTAAAAATAAATACCGGCTTACAAAATAAAATTGTAACACCGAGGAGTAAAACGAAAGTACAAACAGCCCATAATTTCACTTTTCCGCTGACCCCAGATTCTGAATTCTCCGGCTAGGTTGTCTTAAAATTCACAGCACCATTTTTCTTTCAGTATAAAGTCTGCTTTTCTGCTGTTTGAGTGCTACCCTCGTAACTTGTTCTGATACTTGATTCTCCATTTATTTGCCTACAATCAATCTTTATTTACAAAATGAGCTAGGAGTTAGGCTAGGTTCAGTTATCTTAGTCACTATAGGTGTGTTTTTTCATCCTACTCTTCCTCTTCATCTACTTCATTTTAACAATGTTTATGCATAGTGATCCTGGAAAAATTGTATAAATATTGGCATAATATACATTCCAGTGCCTTGCTCACGTATTTATTGGTTTAACAGATATTTCCTAGGTACCTTTCAGAAAGTCACATCACTTTTTACCGTTCAATGAATGCATTACATAATCATTTCCAGTTCCCACCTCAACAACACCAAGTACCATTCAATTTTTATGTCAAATTTGTGCCAACATGAAAGGACAAAAGTCACATTCAGTTATTACTGGGGAATGAATGCAGGGTCTTTGCCCTGAGCACATGCCAGGCACTGTGAGTTTCCTCCTTAGGCAGGGCCTTTGTAAGTTGCCCAACTGGTGATGCCGATGAGGACAGAGGAGAGAGCTGTGCTGAGAGGACTCTGGGGGCAGTGGGCGCTCAAAGTCGCAGTCACGCCCAGGGACACCCCAGGGAGATGCTGCTACTGGTGTTAGGGTTAGACAACTGGAAACAGTTCCCATCAGAAAAGAACTTCACAACACATCAATTCAAATCCCAGAGTCCAACAGAGGACAGAATTTTTAAATCTGTTAGAGAAGTGCAATGAATCACTTATAAAGATGAAATCATTAGAATAACAGCAGATTTCTCAAAAACATTTAAATGCCAGTAGAGCCAGGATTGAAGGGTTTCAAGCCCCAAAAGAAAACGCCTTGCAACTCAAAGACTGATTGAACCTGCAAAACTGTTATTTGAAGTTGGAGGGCAAAAAAGGTCTTTATATGGCATAAAGCACCTTAACAAATTCATGGCCACCTCACCAACACCAAAAGAAAAAATTCCCAACACAATCCAAGAAAGGCATAAGGAGGCCAACAATGTCAAAAAGTATAATAGCATGAATGCAATAGGCAGGGTGAGCAGGTAAGCAGAGGGTAAAAGAAAGGGGAATCATCAACAGGAAAATAATGCAGTGACAGGAATAAGTCAACAGTTTTTGGTAATAATTGTCCATGTGAATGGTATCAATTCTCCAATTGCAGCTGGAGATTTAGCTCAGTGGCGCCATGACTGCCTAGCACAAGGGCCTGAGTTCAATGCATTCTTTCATTCGTCTGTTCATTGTCTATATCCATACCCCTCAACACATCCATCTTATTTCTTGATACACATAAATTGCATGCAATGGTACAGGTTACAGTAATTATTTCAGGAAGCACAACACTAACTAGGCATTAAAATGGATTTTAGTGGTTTTCTTTTGGATGTGAACTTTCCGCAGTGAAACACACCATGTGTGTCATTTTGTGGCACTGTGTATGTATAGAAAAGGAAATTGAACCCATGGGGTTTGACCAATGAACTATATCCCCAGTATGTTTTATTTATAGTTTTTATTTTGGGACAGGGTCTCACTAAGTTGCCCAATCTAGGCTCCATCTTGTGATCCTCCTGCCTCGGCCTCTCAGAGCACTGGGATTACAGGCCTAGACCACCACATCATACATGAAATGCACCACTCTTAATGAATGCAGGATTTACTCAGTTTTTCATTCTCATCCTAATGGTTTTGCTTCCCATCACATTAAACCAAGGAAGGTGGAACAACTATGCAAAATTCCATCTTCCCCCTGGGACTGGGGCAGTGCTCAGTACCGACTGTTTTTCTGTGAACAACATGGAGGAGTTGGCAACACACACACGGTCCTATGCACGGCTTATTGGAAAGCGGGAGGGAGAGAGGCAGAGAAAGGGGAAAAGAGGGGGAGCATAAAATTAGATGGGAGAGAGAAGAGCAATGCAATAAAAGAAGGAAGAAAAATGGTAAGAAGAGTAATGGGAATGAAAATAATTTAAAAACTGTAACGTGTGGGAATACGCCTGGACACAACCCACTGTTCTGTATAACTAATATGCACTCACGAACAAGGCATTCTAAGTGTTTGAAATTCTGCCATTTGCTGTAACCTGGACATTCCAAGAGGGCTTCATGCTACTTGGTGATATCAGCCAGATACAGAAAGATGAATACCACACAATCTCATGTACAGTGGAATCTAGCTATGTGGAACTCATAGAAGTAGAGAGGGAAACAGTGGTTACTGCAGTTATTGGATAGGGGAGACAATGGCCAAATGACACAAAATTTTCCTTAGAAGAAATAAGCTGTAAAGATCTATTACACAACATGTGGCTACAGTGATAAGAAGTATTCCTGAAAATGGCTAATGGAGTGGATTTTATCCTTCTCAAAAATATGCCAAGAATGTGCAGTAATGTACATAAGTACCTTGGCTTAGCCATTCCACAATACACACATATTTCAGTACAACTGGTTTTACATAAAAATATATATTTATTTCTTAATTAAATAAGAAAAATGTATGACACTGACTTGACCACACACACAAACACACACACACACACACACACACACACACACAGTGCCATCTAATTCCATCTTACAGATAGGTCCACCATTAACTGCTAGAGACAAAATTCTTTGGTTTGCCAGGCTCGGACTTGCATAACTGGAATCCCAGTTACCAGGAAAGCAGAGACAGGACATTCAGAAGTTTGAGGTCAGCCTAAGCAATTTGGTGAGACTCTTTCTCAAAGTAAAAAATAGAAAGGTCTAGGGGTATAGCTCAGGGCTAGAGTGGCCCTAGGTTCGATTTCCAGTGCTGCTGTGAAATACATAAATGCATGAAAGAATGAATGATTTTGAATAATTATTTTATTATCCCACACATTTTTGACAGAAATGAAATCACGCATACAAATAATCCTGCACTTGATACTATATATGATAGACATACACATGACATTTTCCTGTCAGTTCCTGTAGCTCCAATTCAGATTCTTTAATGACTGGAAGCAATTCCAGTGTTCTTACTTAATGGACTTGGGGGCAAACCAGCTGTGCTTAAATTCTAGCTTTGCCACTGTGGAAAATCAAATAGTAAACAACCATACAAACATGTCATTTCTACCCTGGCCACAAGCAGGCCTCTCACACTTGGTACTATTGCCAGTTGGGGCCAGGCACTTTCTTGGGGGTGGCCTTTATGCTGGGGCTCTGCAGGTTGAACAGGAGCACACTCAACCCTAATCTCTAGATACCAGCAGTGCATATCTCTCCTGCTGTATGCATTGCCAAGGGTCTGATCTGGGCAGGGCACAGCTGGTTTCCCTAGAGAGCCACTGCCAGTATGCTCATGGCTGGTTACTCCACTCTGCCCCCCAGGTCCCTACCTCTGAAACTGGAGCAGAAAGGCTGTTCTCCTCTGACTGCTGTCACACAGAGCATACAGTGCTTACCCACCACACTTCTCAACACACGAGACATTCAACAGGTTGACTTTTGCTGCCTCCACCATTGCTGCTGCTACACGGCCTGTGGTATGTATTCGTGGATATGTTCAGAGGAACATTTTACAATACACTTGACAGACATTTTGGAAATTTAGCAGTGAGATCAAGCTCAGAGTGCATTGAAATAAAGACCTCCATAACCTTTCAAACTGAAATCAAACAAAGCCGGGTGTGGTGGCACACACCTGCAGTCCCAGCACCGGGGAGACTGAGGCCGGAGACTGGGCTGCAGACAGTTTTTTCCAATCATGTACCTTAGACATTTTTAACATTTTCTACATTCTTTTAAATCTACCTTATTGTCTTCAACTCAATATTTTGGAATGAATAAAGCATACAGAATATGTAACAAAAGCAATATTTTGTTTATTACCTTTTCATTGTTATGAGTTCCTTAAAAGTTATCAAATCAGCAAAAGGTCCTTCACATTGACTTTCTCTCTCCATCTTATTCTCCCTCTCTCCCTCTCTCCCCACCTTACCTCTCTCCCTCTCCTCCTCCTCTCCCCACATCCTCCAGTTACTCCATTCAGCCCCTTGATGTAAATACACTTGTGTACCAACAACTCCCAAACATAGAACTGAGAAGTAACCGTCTGATTTGGCTAGCACCAACACAACAACCAAACAGCAACTCAGGTTCATCGAGTTTGAAATTTCATCATGGTGAGTTGAAAAAAAATGGTTTCTTCTTGAAAGAGTGGTCTGTATTCAGCAGCAGTGAAGTTTGGGAGGAGCCCTTAGCTGAACCTTTAAGGAAGATGCCTTTGGTACCTGCATTATCATACCTCCTTTGCCTGCCTCTGAGCTCAGTCATACAGTTCCTTGCAAACTTAGACTCACCCTGCACTTGAAGGCAAGACCCAACCTCAAGCACATGCCTTCCTGCATCTTGCTCCGTGATCTCCTCTGATCACCTTGTAAGCATTCTAGGCCCTCATCTGACCACAGACCAGAAACAAGAGGGAAGTACATCCAGGAACGGTGCTCACAGTGCAGAAAGGAAGCAGACACACAGATACTCAAACATCTTGTTTTAAG